ACAATTTAGTTTGAGGGGGGTTGAGGTCAAGTGGAATCCAAGTGATGACTACTCTTCCTACTGATGACCGCACACCAACACGTGTCAGCTCGAGTGACCCAAGACCGTTCTCCACACGCTAGCCAGTTCATTTACCTAGTTCATTTATCTAGTGGATGATTGCCGAGGCATGGACAACTAGGTGTTGTATGTCAGTGGATGTGGTGGTACCCTTAATTAAAAGCATTCGACAACCACATGACTTGCAACATATGGTTTACATACGTGGGGTTACGGAGTTCCCTTGGTGCACAGCATTGTAGTGTTCGCTGAAAGCTTGTAAGTGAAACCAGTTACGTACGAAATAAAATCAAGGAAATAGGCTTTAAGCTTACCGCGGAAGCAGTAAGAGCAACCAAGTGTGACACACTAGTTCAAACGTCCAATTATTAAGGTCGATTCACATGCAGGCTTGCAAGATGGGCAGGTAGAAGTACCGAAACACAACAGTAAAAGGTGGGAATTCATAATATTCGAACATAATGACGGCTCGACTTGCTGACAAAGGTAGGAACGGCCGGGATGGACCGCACTCCTTATTGAGGGTGGTGAAGTGACCGTGACATCATGTGAAGCAAATGGCACGAAACGGAATAACACGAGTTCAAGTTAACTGAGCTTACCATTGTGTACAGTAGGATAAATCAAGGCCTAGTTGCTCCTTACAGATCCTTATTGCCGCGTTGATCAAAGATTGGCTATTACCAACAGGATCTTGACCGTCTAGATCAGGATTCCATGGCCCACCAATTGCCTTGAAACGTTCATTTGTCTTGGACAACGCCAGGATTTTTATGTACTTCCTCAGCGGAACCTTGTCGCGATCAGAACTCTCCGCCCGTATGGTTGTTTTGTCCTGCAATGTTGGCATCGACGGCATTGACAACAGGAGGACATTCACATAAAAACCAGTTTCTGCCTTGGGTCGTGTAACCGCCGGAGTCGAATCGTCTACCTTCCCTAGTATCTGTAAAGTGAAAAACATGAATCTCACGCTGTGAAGTGTTCAGCGTCCTTGTGAGGCGCAGTTGGGCTAGATGTACCACACCATTATCTCCATCAACAATACAGATGCGCAAATGACATACACCCATTAATAAAGAACGCCGAGGTGGTACTGAAAAGGTGGAAACCTGGAGAAAAGCGTCAAAACCCTAGGGACAACAATCGAAAACAGCGACGAGACAAACACGCTTGAGCATCATGTTGGAGTGAGGCATTATCAATAGTACGGATGCAACGCCCATTGCGAACCCCACACCACAATTGACCAGGTAATCTGGCGGGAGGGCATGATCACCACCAACCTGCAAGCCGCAAAAATCTCACGGCAAAATGACTTTTGTCCATTTCAATTCCTGAAATCAGGTGATGGTTGGTCCTCCATTCCCGCGGTATCTGTTTGTAGTAAAGAGCTTAGAATGGTTGTGGTTGGGTATGTGTAGTACTGGTTCTCACTACCTCGTAATTCGAAGGGGCGGAACGTGCGCCAAAACAGACCTTCAGCCATTCTATTGGGAACAGAACGGCCGGTCGCCACATAACAGAACATCATAAGGCACGCTAAAGTTCAGTAATCTCCGCTTCTAGATGCCTTTCCAATTCCTATATTTCTGTTATTCTGGAATGTGTATTCTGCGATTGTACCAAAAAACTGAACCAAAAGACAGAAACAGAGAAGCCTACTTGATTCGAACATATTTTAAAAACAACGAGAGAGTGACGCCGCAAGTGTGACCCACCGCATAACTGGTAACTTCCCTGTCTGAGACATCACCAGCACCAGCATCGACAGGATTGAATCAATGTTCAGCATTGATGTTCCGCTTTGTTCAACAACAATTTATTGGAAGACCTTATGGTGAGGAAAACAATGGTAGCGGATGAGGAGGGAACTCATTGCCAGCCTAGCATTCCTAGGTCCCCACATTTCCGAACATCCATTCAGACAACTTACATAGAAACTGACATAAGGAACTCCACTGACATCGATTAGCGGCCACATCTCGCAGCGTCCAAACAGGCACAGTGGTAAACACACGGTCCCTGTCCTGGAAGGCGAGTCACACCGACGTGAGCTTTCGCACTGCTCTCTACCAGGCCAAAGGTTGACCACCTCGCAAATTCCGTCGCCCTGGATTGGGAAAACGAATAGTGCTCTTCTGCAAACTGCGTCATCATGAGCAAGTGATGATTCGGCATGCGCAATAGATTACCTTACCACCGTAGCATTGGTGCTGGACACGTCGACAGAAGCCCCTGTTGCACGGCCGAACACTTGCTTCTAATTGCCTCCTTGCGAATTCGATGGCACAAGCCTACACGAGCTATGGTCCTGAGGCAACGGTGGTCGAAGACCTGGAGACGCCATAGCCCCACTGTAATGCAACAAAACTGCCCCTACTGTAGCCTGATACACACATATATCGAGATTTATGGATACACTACTTCGCCACAATAGGCGTCGTGAATTGTCAAACGCAATCCGAGCATTACCGATTTGTGTTGACCTCGAAGACCGGTAAAACTCTCCACAGCTTCGAGTGCCACTCCATGGATTGCGAGCGGTGCGTCCACTGACTGCATGTCCATAAGCATAACCTTACACTTTGTGCATGCAAATCGCATAGGGCGAGATGACTCTGGTCAGTTCAACCAAAAACATCTGTACCTTCAGTCAATTGGAAAAAGTTTGGAACCGATTGGGAAGCCATCGTTTCAGAAGAGCTTGCTAAACTATCGGTAGTTTTTATTTGGGCAACGTTTCGCTTTTGACACAAAAGCTTCATCAGGTCAAGTGAACAGGTCAGTGTCGGTCCGACACTGGGGCAGTTTTGAACTACTCGTCTGCCCACCCGAAGTCGGTATTCGCAAGTACTGCGTCGTCAATGTTTAGGCGCGTAAGGGCCATGTGCACAGAAGCTGATCGGACAGCGGCCCAAATCGAAGTAAAGAGCAAACTTCGGGGTAGTGGA